GGTGCTAGTATTTGAGTTCCCTGGGAGGAGGGAGTTTTCACCAACTCTTGGTGGTAGAGATTAGAGAGCTGCTGGGACAGGTGGGAGTGTTAAGCTTAAACCTGACTGAAGGAGGAGATAGGGCTCATCATTGTCACATCCATGTCTTTTTGTAACTGCCTTGGCAAGGTTATTTGGCCTGGGAGGGAACATGATGCTCCCCCATTATTGCCTCTGGAGAGCTGGAGGGACAAAGGAGCTTTTTTGTTTCCCCTCCAGCCAACTCTGTAGGCCATGAGATGCCGAGGCTTCCCTCCTGTTGTGAATTTGTGCTCTCAGTATTACAAAAGTCCATCTGTTTGTTGGGGTAACAGTTAAACTGCCATTAGGAGAGTGTAAGATATCACGGGCTGGTTAATGGGAAACCGTTTTGCAGATGGACTCACTGCTCTTCCCCTTTTGCAAACAGAAAATGCTTTGCCTTCTTCAGCTGCTGAAGGTGAGCGTGTGCTTTTATTTTGTTGCCTGTTTGCTCTTCAGGTACAGTGAAAGAGACAATGCCCCAAGCTGGGGTAGAACTCCCAGAGGAGAGGGCAGTCATGTTTGAGGCAAGAAGGCAAAGAGAAATCCCACCACCAGCAGGGAGGTGGGTGAATGGTGCTGTTAAAACTTCCCCAAAGGTGGCCAAAGCCTGGCCCACAGGGCAGAGCTTCAAAGCACGGTCATGCTGTAGGGCTGCCTTTTCCTGTTTTGTTTAACAGCTGCTAGGGAGGAGATGACCATGTTTTTTCTGTGCCCTCTCTGCTGGGAAGCATTCAGGGTAATCTGGAGTCACAGATGTTACAGAGGCCGGATCATTTCCTTTTTTTTTTTTTTTTTGAGCAGAAGAAGTCAAGGCATACTTTTTGGAAGAAATGGATGAAGGCAAAAGGCTAAAGTCAAGGCTGTGCTCTCATCACATGAGGGTAAAGCACCTCTCTTTGTTCATACACATAGCAAAATCTTGCCCTTACCTGGACTGGAGCAGGGCCAGCCTTTTGCTCTGAGTTCTTTCCAGGCAGGTGTGCAGCAGCACTCACCTGCCTGCAATGAGCAGAGTGCCCTTGGATCTCCAGGTACTTCCCATCCTGTGCAGATGGCTGGAAGTGGAAGCTGGGTCTCAGCAGCTCCCTGCCCATCTTCAGAGGCCAGTTCCCCCAGGATGAGCACCAGGACCTGGCTGGATGGCAGGAATGCTTGTCCTGAGCAGGGCCAGGTGGGATTTGTGCCACCAGTGTGTAACAGTGCTGTGAGCATGGGCAGCTCCTGTCACTGCACCTTTGTCAGAGCAGAGCTCAAGAGCATCCTCTTGGGTCAGAAGCATTTTGCCTCTCTCGTTTGATTGAAGTGCCAGCCAGTCAGATTAGCTCTGCTCCTACAGGGCACCAGCTTTTCTGTCTTAGCAGATAAACCTCTGCTGGCCAGATCACAGCGTCTCAAACCCCAGCACAACCTGCCAGAAGGCACCAAGGGCTCAGAGCAGCCCTGAGTTCAAAGGGGCACTTTGGGCTAAGAGCTCCCAGTGAGCCTGATCATGACTTCAGCCTGGGAGATGGGGACAGCAAGTGCCCCAGATGACCAGAGCAGGGCAAGGCTGCAGAGAGATAATTGGGTTTGTAGGTGCAGTCCTGGCTGCTGGCACAGCACAGGCAGCTCGTGTGCGTGGGGCAGTCAGAAAACGCTTTAATGTTTGGATTTTAAAAAATGAAACCACCATAATGCATGTCCCTAATAAAAGATAATATAGAGTGCAATAATAAAAGATAGTATAGAGTTGCAATAGCAACCCTATTGGCTTCTCTGGTTGCTAGCCCCATATTAGTGTATAATGCACACAGCTCCACATGCTGAGACCTGTCTGTGCACATAATTACAAGTTCTTGCATAAAGAACCTGTAATTGCTGCAGGTGCTTCTATTTTAACCCTGTCCTACAGTGTCTTAAATTCAATACAGAAGTCACCCCAGCTCAATTCTCATTCTTCACCTCATCTTGGGTCATCCCTTTTCTCCAGAAGCTCAAGAAACAGGGCAGGTTATTTGACATTGACATGCAACTGCTGTCCTAAGCATCAACTTTCCAAAAATCACATTCTTGGATACAGGTAGAGCACATGACATGCACTTTGTCTCCTTACAAACCGGTGGTGTTTTCATGCTCCAGTTTTTGGATTTGCAGGGGCCAGATCCTGTTGCTCAGGAGTGGGATGTGACCCTGGACAGGTCTGAAGCCCATGTGCTGTGCCCTGTTCTCCCTGTCCCTGCTGCAGGCAGGAGCTTGCTCAAGGTAATTCAGCAGGATTCCAGTGGGGGTGACACGAGTGCAGCTGCAATGCAGGAGAGGGGCCCAAATCTGCCCGGGTGCAGCCATGATTTCTGCTTGGCTGTCACACTTCAGAGCCTGTCAGGCCACAGTTTGGGTGCTGGATGTGCTGCCCCAGCTTTCTGCCATTCCACCCTGCTTTCAGATCCAGCTGCTCTCTTACTGTTGGTTTTCACACTCATTTTGTCACACTTTGTGCAATGTGACCACTAATTGGTGCAGCTAATTAACTGTTAAAAAACAGTGTCTTAATCTTCAGATCCAACTCATGGATCTGAGCAAAGCTTTCCTGAGGGAAAAAGGCAGCTACAGCTCTGACCACCCCAAACTCATTCATTAGAGCTGCACCTGGGAGATTCAGCTCCTCCCTTTATTCTCCCTTTGAGGGCCTCAAGCAATGTTTTTTGCTTAGTTGGACCTCAGGATGCCATTTAGTGGAAAGATGGCATTTTTCAAGTGTAGATGGGATGAATAAAATCAAATATTTGTTTCAGTTTGAACAAAAGCAATTTGTCTAATCAGACTGTCTTCCTCTGGCATCTATCCATGCAAATACAAACCACAAAGCAGCAAGGAACAGCTCTGGATTTTACACTGGAGTGCTTCCCTAAGAGGCTGAGTGTCCTGTTCAGTACAGGTTTCATTGAGTTCCCAGGGCTTGCTTTCTTTATTTAAGCATTGGTGCAACAGCAAAAAACTGCTGTTATGTTTCTTTTGAAGCCTGTAGAACATTCTTTGAGGAACTCTGAATCTTCAGAACTAGGGTTCTACGAATGTGTCCCCACAAAACCTGCTGTGCAGAGGGGATATGTAACACCACTGACCCAGCAGCTCTGGCTGCTCTGTGCCCACCCAGGACCAGCTGCTGGTAACCAGACCCTTGTTTTTCTCAGCCCAAGACCCCATTTCAGACAGACTTGTGTACAAGCTATAAATGATCAGGTCTTTTCTTTCACTTCCTTTTGTATAATGGCAGTCCTACTTTCCTTTGACAGTGCAGTAATTTAGAATCTGATTGTGGTTTAATGAAAATCCTGCTGTTCTTCTCCCTGGAATTTGAGAGTTGACATTACAAAGAAGTCCTTCCTTGACCTTTCCCTGTTAGCCACTCCTGGAAATTAAAGTGTCTATTTTAATGAGCTCAGAGGATTGGGGAGTTGCAAGAAAAGAAAAATCAACTTCAAAAATACCTAACCTCCTCTGGTGAATATGTCAGGACATGTTTTTAGATGCAGAGCTCTTACCTGAACAGGCTTGTTCTCTCCTCATTCTGTGGCTTCTCAGCTGAGCCGTTTCCTGGCTCCAGCCTGTGCTTTATGATGCAAGGCCATGTTGACTTTGCATGAGGCTTGTTGCAATGTATAGAGCAGATTTGTAAATCTCCCCAGCCTTTGCTCCCCCCATCACTTCTGCAGTCCAGTCCAGCTGGCAAACCAGGGTGACTTGCCTCTGTGTGTGTGTATAAATACATATAAGACTGAATATAATACATAAGAATATATAATGATATAAAAACATCTCTGCAAGGCTTCCAGGAGCTGTGTCTATCCTGGCAGGGCCATCCTAGAAGTGAAGTGGAAGAAAAGGAGCTACATAGAAATGACTGAGAATGGAAAGAGTTCAGAAAATGCTGGGTTTGGGGCTCTCCTCTGCTTGACCCTGTGGGTCCCCTTCTTTGTCATGTGGGTCTGAACTGAGCCCAGTGCAGGTTTGAAATTTGGGTGATGTGGAGACAGAGCCCAGCAGCTGCAGCACTCACCCTGCATGGGACAGGATTTCTGCCTTAGAGCCAGAGTGATGCTGCTCGGGGAGTGGTTTGGGACTATGTACCCACAGGCTTCAGGAGTTTGTAAATGCAAACAAAATATTTGTCAGCGGTTGATGAAACTCAGATGTTTTTGGGTTTTTTTTGGTTTTTTGTTTTTTTTTGTTTTTTTACCAAAAAGCTTCAAAACTGGCCAGGTATCTTGTTGCCTTCAAGGTTATTGAAAAATTTCTTTATGTTATCCTTTTTGTTGGGCGAGATGATTTCTTCCAGAACCAATGTTATGGGGTCAATCAGATTTCAAGCCCAACCTCATGGGTATGGAATTGCTCCTCTTTTACCTACCTGAGTGTCTGATTAGAAATTCAGTTTGCTTTCACAGCTAAAGGAGAGGGTTGGGTACCTCCAGAGGAAATTCAGCTCTCAGGTGTATTTTTTTTCCCCTGAGGTAAGAAGACATTTCATTTGGGTTCAGTGAAAAAACCACAGGTTTGGTCTCTACTGTGTATTTTGGGTTTCTGGTCCTGGAGGTGGTGTAAGCACAGCTATGGAAGATCCTCTGCAGCTCCATGCCTTAGAACAAGGTTTGCTGTGTGAAAAATTAGAATTTGTATAGGTTTGAAAGCTGTATAAATAATAGTGGTTTTTTAGTACTACACCAGGGCTATCTTGCATACATATTTATTTAGTAGTAAGACCAAAAGCTTGGAAGAGAACTGTGTTTGCAAAGGGCTGTGATGGCAAAGGTTTCCTTCCCATGTCCGTGTGCAGCACAAAATGGAAGTAGATATATAATGGAAACTATGTAGGAAAGGTAATTTATTCTATCAATGTCAAATACCCACACAAACCAGTCTGGCTTGATATTTATATTTGCAGAGTTTATTAGCACAAAATAAAAAAATAAACCATAGTGAACATAAAATAAACCGCACTGGCATATGGGAAGAGTGTCACCAAAGCCGTCCTTGCTGCTGCTTTAGTTCACTTATCCAACACTGGTGCTGAGCACTCCCAGACCAGCCCTGAACAGTTTGGCTTTGAGGTGAGTCAAGGAGGAAATGACAGGGATTGTTGGTTGGGAAATCAGGGTAAAATCTGGATCAGCCATATGTAAACATGGATGTGGTTATGGATGAATGTGCAAATACGAAATACCCTCAGGCTTTAAATCATGAGAGTCTTGCAGTGATGCTGCCCCAGGCCAGGATTGCTCTGCAGGGCAGCACCTACCATCAGCCAAGGGCTTCTTTGATTGAGGATGGCTTTTTCCTACACTGGTTTTATCCCATTTTGAATTTAAAAAAAGAGATGAGCTTCACTGCCTCACCTACAGGACAGCAGAAGATAGGGCTCACTCCTTCAGTGCTGCCTCAAGTCCCAGTGTAAGGAAAGTGATTGCAATTTCCTTGATCCTGTAAGAAAAAGTTTACTATAGCTGATGGTGTCTCACTGTGGTCTCTCCTGGGAACTGGGTGGTATTTTCTCAAGTGGAATGGTTAGTGGATACCAGCTTTGCCACTATAAAATGAGGAAAGCAGCTGTAGTTTTTGCAGTCAGGTAAATCCTAAGCCTGAGCACGGTCATGCCTGAGTAGAGACCAGTGCTGTGCTCACCTGGCTGTGACACAGTACAAACTGGACATGCCCCATCTCCCCAGGGATTTTACAGCTATGGAGCTGAGGCACATTCATCATCCTGCCATCAAAACAAACCTTTCTCCTGCACTGAGGACAAAGCTGCTATGGAGCTGGACTCAGAGCTGGAATAACAGGGGCTGTGTGAGGTCAGGGTGGAGGTGAGCTGGCTCAGCGCCCTGGGCAGGCACGCAGAGTGGCTGCCCACATTCCCACAGGCTTAGCTCAGGCTGTGGCCCCTGCTAGCATGCCCATTTTTGCCAACAAATATGAGCAGCTTTGCCACCTCCTCTGTGCGACTGTTGGCAGCAGGACGGGCATTGTCCCATTCCCCTCCAAGCTGGGAACTGTGCAGAAATTCCCAGCTGGAGTAGACACATCTTCTCCAACCCTCCTCCAGCAAACCCTTGCTGCAGTGGGTAAATTGTGATCAAAGCAGAGACTCCAAGCTGCTTGGCCTGGGTTTTCATATTTGAGGATAAAAAGCAGTATCTGGGATTTAAAGCTGTGCAGCTAATCAGCTGGAATTAATGTCCAGAGAGCAGCCCTGGCTGCACTGGAGTCACAGCTCCCAAGAGAGGCTGAAGATCTGCCCTCCAAGCCAGTCAGAAGAGCTGGGTCACTCCTGCCAGGCTGTGTTCAGTCTTGAGGGCAGGACTGCTTTTGGAGGCAGCCACATTCATCACCCACAGCAAAATTTAATGAACAGCCAATCTTTTTTGGCAGCTTTTTATTGCAGGGAGGGCAGAGGGTTTATGTTAACTGGATTTGTGAAGGCAGTTGTACAAATATTTGTTCTCTGCTCCTTAGCAGCAAAGGGATGAGTACAAACAACATACCCATTTAAGGTCCCACTCATTTGTCACAAAAGAATTGATCCAATTTTGGCTGTGTTATGGGCCTCCAGTTTGCTCTGCAGCTTGTGTAAGGTGTAGCTCAGCCCCACTCCATAGCCTGAACAGAGGCAAAGGCATGACAGAGCAATGCTGCAAGGATGGAAATCCTCCTGCACAGGGAAAAGCTTTGGCCTGGGAAGTGGCTGTAAAAAGAGCACCTTTTGGATCTGCAGTCAGTGGTACGACACCATCTATACCTCAGGTTATCTCAAGCATCCATCTGCTCCCTGGGAAGGCAGGATCAAGCCATGGTTGTTTGCTCAGTGAGGCAGTTCCCTTCTGCAGGCACTGCAGCAGGTGATTTGCTCTTACTGTAGAGAAAGAAAATTCTAAAGACAAAAAAAAAAATCACGGGAAAATTTTAGCATGTGGATTCAGTGCCCAGGTTAGATTAGGGCTGCTCTGTAAATGACTAAGGATCAGATCAGATTATTAAGACTTCAGTGTGTAAGACCTCTCCCCCCAGCTTGGATTAAACCCTATGCCACACACAGAAAAATGAAATATTGAGTAGCTACTCCCAAAGTGAACATAGTCCATTCAGTTGTGTGATTTTTCCCACAGGAAAAATGTTTGATTATGGCATTAAATGGTGTGCAATATTAGACAGAGACAGGCTAAGACAGACTTGAATTTTGGTGCTCCCTATTATTAAGGTCTTTGATTTTGCAACTTCAGTACTACTCTTATAAGTGGAGAGATTTTGTGCTTGAAAGTGTTTAATTTTAAACCCCTCCTCATGCTGTGGAGAATAGGTCTCTGCTGTATAGAAAAGCTGGGAGAAAAGGAGCAGCTTGAACAAACTACCTTGGATTATTCCAAAACCATTTATCCTTGATTCCCTTTAGTGATCTCATATTGGACTTTTATCATCACTGTAATTTGATATTAATATTTTTAAATTAAAGTGCAGGAAGATTTCTGGCAGTTGTTTTTGGTAGGTTCCCATTAATGTCTACTTAACTGAAGACAGAAAGAGTCAAGCACACATTTAATTATGGAGATGTCTGCATGACAGCATAAAATCTCAGATGAAAAAGAAACACTTTTAATATGAATAATCATCAGACTTAAAAGTCTCAGTCATCTTTAAATAGCAATATATTGATGACTAAAAGCAGCTCTAATGTGTCATGCATTATACAGCCTGGAGTTTAACAAGCATTTATTTTAACCTTCCATGTTGCAGGAGTTGCAAGCGGGGGCACAGCCTACGGCTCAGTTTGTGTGGGATTAATGTCACCATCCAAAAATTGAGCCTTTGCCCCCCGTCAAAACTCAAGAACAAAAGGGAAGAGATTAATTCCTCCAGAGTATCTCCTCCCCTCTGCTAAGGGGCATCTTTCCTCAAAGGAAGCATTTTCCTTCTTGTCTCTAAGGGCACAGAGGAGCTTTTAAATGGTTAATGTTAGTGCAAATGTACCCAGTACAGGTCTACTGCCAAAATATGGGAATCTGGACTTCCACTGAAAAACTGAAAATGCCTTTATAGATTTTTGGATAGAGATTTTGTCATTTTGACTGAACCTCCACAGAGGTTTTTCTGAGGGCCAGGTTGCTAATAGCTTTGGGGTTGTTTTCTAGAATTTAAGTAAAATGCTATTACAAGACTCCTGTAAAGTTCCAAAGAATTGGAGGCAGTAGAGAAGCCACCATTCCTATTTCTATGAGATGTGAGGCTGTTTGAATGAGCCTTGGGCAGTTGGTAGGAGCAGGACAGGGCACAGCTGCCAGCAGGGTCAGCCGAGGGCAGATGCCACCACGGTGGTTTGTTGGGGACACAAGCAGCCCTGTGCCCTCCCCAGCCCCACTCTCACACCAGGGCTGTATCTTACCCTGTAATTTATAAAACTGATCCTGCAGAAACCATACAGAAAGGAGGAGAGTGCTGTGACCTCAGCCCGGAGGAACAGCCTGAGCACAGCACAGGAATTCCTGGGCTTTGATCCGCTGCCAGCACCGCGGCCCCAGTGCCGGGGAAGCTGCTGAGGACACAGAGTTTGAAAGCATGGCCTTCCTCCAAGGCTCTGCATTCTGTTCCCAAAAATGTGGCCTTGCAATTTAGCACCCACAAGCAACAGATAAGAGGTTGTAATGCTCAGTGCAGCAGAACAAGGTTAGGTCCTGGTGAGGATCCCCACTCCCCTCTGTGGACAGCCAGGAACAGCTCAGAAGTGACAGCCCCGGGGAAGGAAAAGTTTCTGGAAAGACATGAGCTGTGCCCACAAAAATCTCCATTTCAGCTCTTCATCAGGGGCATTGTCTGTTTATTTATTGATTTTCTTCAACCAGCCTCTCCTTATAAATATTGCTACTGAGCCTCAAGACCCAGGAATCTGGAGGACAGGAATTTGCTGTCTGACAGATTTTAAAAACAAGTTGAGGGACTCCTGTGCCCCCTCTGGATTGTTTTTGCCCAATCGCTTTCCAAATGGCTCCTAAAAATTTCCCAAGTATAAGGGGATTTTTTGCCTTTAGTCCTTCCAGCAATTATGTGAGGGGTCAGAGTTTCATTTGTGTGAGACCAATCCTCAGAGCATTCCCAATATCACTGGAATGCTGTAGACTTTCATCCACCACAGGAGGAAGAGAAGTCAGGTCAGAGTCTGTCTGAAAACTCATCCCTGCCATCGAAGATAACACAATGTATAACTCTGACTCAAGGACAGACAGAACTAAGTGGATGATGGATGTGAGGCCTCACAAAGCTTGCCAGCAGCAGTAACACTTGTTTTGCAATCACTGTTTGGAGCAGAGTAGACAAATTTGCACTGAAATCAAACTTCTTGATGTCTCTGTTTCTTGCAAGTCCTCTGACCTCTCAGCAACTTGGCCTGACCACCAGCAACTAAATGATATATCCCAAGAATTTCCTGCTGTTCAGAAGGGACGTGGTGAAACAGAACTCCCTTTACTCTTTGTAACACACCATAACCAAGAAACAGAACATTTTGACTTTTGTCCTTAAATAACAGATATTATTTCTGCAGAAACACTGCAGAAATAGTCTCTAAACTTATCAGGGGAATTGCAAGTTAGACAATCACTCAGATCCTCTTGTCCCTGCCAGGCACTCTGCTCCCTCTTCCCAAGGTTAACAAGCATTATTCAAACTGGGAGATACAGTAGGGACAGTGTGTCTGATGTTTGTTGGGCTATATTAAAGAACATGTTCATTTTGCTTCTGAAAAATATTTGTAAATATTTGCAAGCAATAGAGAAAAATTGATTCATATTTTATTAAGTCTGTTTACAAAACCTAGAAGACCTGAGACAACTCTGTGTGTTGGAGTACAGATGTTTTCTCCCTCTCCAAGTGTACTTAGGATAAATACATTTAAAATAAGTAACACTGAGAGGCTGTCAGCTGGCTGGCAGGAAGGGCAGGCTGAGTTCACAGCCCTGTGCAGCCCCTGCCAGCGAGGCTGAGCTCCTGTGCAGATGATGCTTCATGACCTGCACAGGGCAATCAGGCCCTTCAGTTTCACTGACTTACACTCACCTTGATCTTTCTCTCCTAAATTTGTTTTGGTTTTTTTTTTTTAATATTAAACTAAGTAGCATTTGAAACTGAGAGACTATCCAACCAGAGTTAAATTTCAACCATTCAACAACTGACAAGAAATCAATCTGTTTTCTTTTGCTAAATATGTTTAAAATCTCTAAGCAGTCCAAATGGGATGTAGGAATCATTTCCTCTCAGATGACAAATGACAGGCTAAATTCCACCCACTGTTCACTCTGGCCTGACCTAGGGCTGATAGGAAACAAGGAGCGTCCTTCCGTTAGCTTAAATGGATTTTGTGTCAGCCCCATTAAGTAACAGCTTATTTCCCTTCATTGATTGTGATGTCAAAGATAAGGAATTAAGACTGATTGGCACATTAACAGTGGATAGCAGACATTCACAGAATAAAATCCCAGTGACAGGGAGAAGAAAGGAGGGGAAAGGATTTTGCAGGTCAATGTTACAAACATCAGTTAAAGATGGTCCACTGTGGACCAGGATTTAAATACAGAGCTGCTTTATTTTGGCTTTGGTAGAAGGGTGAACATTTTTCATTTACTTCTGAAAATGGAAGAATTTGGAGATATATTAAAATATTGGGTCCAAAGAGAAATAATTTAGTTCTGCATGGGTAACACATGCTAAAAAGGTCTTCGAAAGCCTCCATTTCTGGGTGCTAAAATCCTACATCTGAGAGTGGGCAAAAAAGGTCTTTTTTTCCCCAAGGATGGGTACAGCTGGGGCTTTTCTTTGCAGGCCACAATTATGAGACAACTGGAGGATGGGGTGAGAGACTTCATCTGTTAGGATCTAATGACACTGAGAGGATATACTGTTACCATACAGTACAGTAATTATTTATTCTCTCTTGCAGACTTTCTAAAGGCAGACTAGAACACAGATCCTCATGACTCTTGTCCCTTTGGTTTAAGAAACTCAGCTGTGATTTTTCAGGTGTTCTCCAGTCTGAAGCTGAAGGCAATGGCAGCTGCTTAGCTCCTGAGTCAGGTTGTCCTGATTTGGCCTTTCATATAGAATTCTCTTTATGAGTGAATTTTACCTTTAATAACTTGCTCTTTGGCTGTCAGCCAAAATTCCATACTGATTTCTGCTAGAGAAACTGATAGATGTTCCAAGGGCTGTGGGCCACCATCTTTTTTATGGTACAATTACTAAAAGCCAAACCCTTCTCACATTTTTTATTTCTAAAAAAGCCTTGAAATCTGGCACCTTTATGACTAAAGCCTCCCAAAGGAAGCACTACAGAATCAATATCTGAAAGCAGGATGCTTCTGCATTTTTTGAAGTAAAAGTTCTCTGCAGTCATTAACAGACTTGATTCATCTGATGACTCAGAATTTGTGCAGCTGGTCCAAGGCCAATTCAGAGACTGAAAAGTGCTGCTTTTCTCTCCTTCTCTAAAGAAGTGATCTTTTCTCAGCTACGTGAAGAAGCACCTCCTGCCCTCATGTCAGCTTCTTCATTTAAGGAGAAGGTTATATTCAGAACATGCAACAGCATAGAATTTGATTGAGAAGATGAATTTATATAAAATTTGGCCTTCATCAGTTTTCCCAATAAGAATTTTGAAATCTTTGAAATCTCCTTTTGTTTACTGGAGATGCAATACATGGTAGGACTATTGCAATACACAGGCTGAATAGAAGAACAGACTGTGAAGATAGAACAAATAGAACAGACTGTGAAATAATGTTTCTCCATTATTTTACTGTAATTAAACTTCATTAGTCACATAGATAATCGTATTATAATTTCATGTTTGTCTCATGTTTTCAGGAGCTTCATGCTTATTGATTTGAAGTTCTTGAATCAGATACATTCTCTTTACATTTTGGTTCAAGTTTTTTAAACAATCAGAGCTTACATTTTCTATGATGCATTTAGGTTTTATTTTCATTATAAAATTCCAGTCTCACGTGAGATTTTAAATGTTAGTAATTCAGCCATTGGTTTTGAAGGGGTTCAATGGCTCCATTCACTGATGATTTAAATAGTCAATTTTCAATCATCACTCTTTTGAGAGTTTATAGCTGTGCTAGTCCTTTCCCATTAAAAGCTGTCACAGTAAAGATTCTTATCAACTAGAAGTACTTCGATTTTATTCCCCATGGTAACTGTTTATTATCCTCACAAAATCTTGTGGGTTTGTGGGACATGAAAAATACACTTTCCTCAGAAATAGTGACAGAAGAGAAACCTTCATCAGAATTTGACATTTCATTATCCAGACTAATGTAATCTAATACAAGGCCCATCCCTCTAAAATGCCTTGTTTCACTTGCAAGTCTTTCCACGATGTGAGTAGCAATGCTGTAATCCCATTTCAGGTTTAGTGCTGGCAGCAAGAGCTGGGCCATCAGGTAGATGTTTACATTTCAACATTTCCTGCTCTAAGTGGCTGTCTATGCCAAGGAGCAAGCCCTTCTTCGATACCTGTGTCACCCTGGAAAAGTTGTCCAGGCCAGAACTAATTCCATTAGTGCTTGGAAAGCTATTTATAAGCCTGCCTTCAGTGGGATGACCTTATTAATTAGATTGGGGGAAGGCTGAGGGAGGGAGAGATGCTCATTTCACAAGACCATTGACATGCATTTCCAAAAGCAATGCCTCTCCTTCACACTATGCTCAAAAAGACTGTAAATAAAGCAGAAATCTGGGTCAGTTTGCAGCAAGAAAAAAAAAAGCTGTATCCATGCTGTCTGCAGGACACAAAGCATAAACTTTTCTCAGGGTAGTTCTGCTGCCACATGTCCTTGAACACGCTAACAAAGCCCAAACCCTGTGTTCTCTAAATCCAAGAAAAGGAAAGAGCTTTAATGGTAAAGCTTCTAAACCAAACCTTAATGAAACCACCACCTTCCTCCATTACCATGCACACCCCTAAGATCAGGAAGGCTAAATCCTCATATTCTGTTTGCTATAAAATCAAAAGAAAGCAGAAGGGTACTTTTCTCCCCCTTATTTACCCCAAATGCTTGATTTACTCTCCAGTGTATACTGGGAGTGGAGTTTCACCTGCCAAACCCATTTCCTGTGCCTCACCAAGCTGTGCTGCTCTGCTCCCTCCCCACTGCATTTAATTGGCTCCCTGAGCCATGGTGTCCTGCTCTCCTGCCTCTGCAGCCAGCCCATCACCACTGCCAGCTCCAAAAAGTGGGTAGCTGGGAGCATTAGCTGTGTCTTGTCACAAAATAAATAATTTTGGCAACTGAGGAACTGCTTCTCTGTTATCTGTTTAACAGATCAAGGGACTGGTTATTGTGCAGGCTTGTAATAAGAACTCATCTGTGCCAAGTGGCCAAGAGAAACTCAGCTTTTGTGCAGGATGTTTACTTTTATCAATATAACCTCCTGACAGAATCTATTCACCTCTGGCATCCCAGTGGCAATTACATTTTTCATCTTGGGTGGGGAAAAGGAAGCTTTCAGAGCCTGCCTATTCATTTGATGGATTTGTACAACCCAGGACAATTTTGCAATGCAGAGAAAACTACAGACCCTAATTGTGTGTCCCTCTTTGCATAATCCTGTACAGATATTCAATGTCTCAGAATTCAGTATGTCTTTATATGACAGTTCATCAGTAGTCCAGGAGTTTAAACTCCTCCACCTCTAGACAAGTAGAGAGTGCTTGTGAAGGGCAGGCAGGAGATTGTACATGGGTACAAATTGACCTAAAAATAATAAGGGCAAACCACACAGCTCATGTACTCCTGAGTGTCAAGAATTGTAATTAGTAACAGATTTGCTATGCAAACACCTATGAGGTACCAAATGGGTGTCTACTGGGTATCAGACTGGGATTGCCTGGTTCATTTTGGAAACTCATTTTACAAATACCTTACAGAACTGAAGTCTCTTTGTCCCATGAAAAAATAATAGGTTAAATGTCTTATTAATCAGCTGTCCATGCTTAGTATGTTGCTCCTTCCAAGCACACTACATGACTGGGCCCCACCACAGGGATGCATTCAGTAAGAAAAGTTCTCTCATTCTTCTTCTAACCCTGACTCATTTATTAAAATGCATTTCTGGCTGAGTGCACAATGACATATTTCTAGTCCTAAGAATGTTTTTAATCAAAACTACTTAAGGTATTTGAAGGTTCTGTTTTTTCTTACTTTATAAATAAGAGTAACCAAATTAACAAGGTTTTTGCTTCCTTAATCTTGTATGCTGAATGCCAATTTTTAGGATTTAGACTTAATGGTTCCTTGGTCCATAATAAGGGGTTTCTTTTATTACCATGTTTTTAGGGCACTCTGAGTCATTCTATCATCAAAAACAATTACAGAGATGAGTTCAACAAGAGTCACTGGTACTAAAAATATGTTATTGGTGAGGACTGCTCTACCAATACCTGTGCTGAGTAATTTAGCGCTCTCCTTAACAGACACTGACTTCCAGTAAAAAAATCTTCCAGTTTCATCAGCACTGTCATGATGGTTGGGGCATTCTTAACCTGGTTCCACTCAGTCAAGCTTCATGATATGAATGTTCTTATTCTCATTCAAAGTAAACAAGTCTGAACAGTTGTTTGTTTTATTTTTTTACTGTATCTTGAATTTGTATATCTTTGATGCTCCAGCAACAGGAAGTTACTGGTTTGAGATCTGTATCCACAGAACAAAGGTGGAAAAACAGGCTTTGAAAACTGTGAGGAGAAAAACTCTGATATATTTGTGAGTAGAATCTAGATCAAATGTACAAGGCAGCAGGAAAGGAAATGAAAATGACAGTGGCTTGGGAGAAGGCAGAAGAAAGAGTCAAAGAGGAGCAGAGGGAATGAGAGGAGATGGAGACAAGATGCAACACCTCTGTGTGCACCTTTGAAGGGGTCAGTGCACTCATTTTACAGGGGTCAGCCCAGTTTTTTGCCATAACCACAAAGCAGCCAGCCTTCCAGTCATGGTGTACACATCACAGGTTCCAGAACGTTTCTACACCCTGAAAGTGCAAATTACTGGGGAGTTGCAGAGGAATGCAAGGATGGGTGTGTGGTACTGAGCAGGAAGGCAGCTGCATCACCACAAGCCCTACCTCAATATAAAGTCAGGATATTGGGATACTGCTGGCACTTCTGCTGTTGAAATGCAGCTGTGTGCAGGTCTGAGCTCTTCAGCAGCGCCCTCAAACTTTGCTCCTTTTGGGTTAACAGATAACATAGGCAATATGAAACTTAATTACCAGGGACACTGCTAAACCGGATGACAGATTATACCAACATATTAACAGTGATACCTCACTGAGATTAATGGGAGTATTTCTCAGGGAACTAGCTCGGCTCTGCATTTCAGGAGTTCTCCTTCCCAGCATCAAGCTCTGCCCTCCTTTTTCAGAAAAACTGAGCAGCTGTCTCCAGAAGTCTTCTGGCCCAACCTCACCTGTCCTAGCAGCAACCAAGCCCCTGTTGGAGAACAAAATCTGAAATTTGTATCAGTAGAGTTTATTCTTTACTAGAACTACAGAAACTGAGGGGCAAGTCTTGCCATAGCAGTTTACGAAACTGTTACCACCTAATTCTTTGCTCACTGCTGGCACCAGGGAACAGTTGGGAAAGGGGACCAAGAGCCATGCACAGTCAGATTGAGCCTGACATGCAGCCAAGCTGTGACACTCACACTTCCCTGTGCTGGAGGTGGTTACCTGGCAGAGGTGACACATTTAGCTTAGGAGATGACTTAGAAACCATGGCACAGCTGCCAGCAGATCCTGTCTGCATCAGTCCTGCCATGAAAGATGTTGACACTGAGTATGGTTTAAACCCGTGGTTTGCCTTGGTGTGCCTCTACTAATCGCTTTTGTTGAGGGCTGGAACTGTTCAAAATCCCACTGTAAACAAGATATTAGATTAGAAGAATAGTGTAAATAGAATTCTAATAATGATAATATTAATATTCTCCTAATTAATCATCTGATTTGTACTGTACAAGGCAACACCACATCCATCTTACAGAAACATGCTTGGCATGATCCCTTCACTTACTGAAATAACCCTTGCTTGGCAAAGTTAGGTTTGAGTAGGTAAGATTAGAGCATGGAGTTGGGGGAGCCCCGCCAGCCAATTCATCTCTGCCAAGCAGTCTGGCCACTGGAATCTCGATTTGGAGAGCAGTAAATGATCCCATGTGCAGGTTTATGAGACAGCACAGCCACATAAAGGCGTTTTGCTGTGCTCTCCTGTGCCACGCCGGGATGGATCCCACGGGCGGGTGGCTGAAGTCACCCGGGTCAGCCTGTGCGGAATCGCTCGCAGAAAGGCTCCTACAGCTCCCACACTGGAAGAGGAAGCGTGTTGCCGCCGCCAAGCCCTCCTCTCTGACGAACGAGCTGAGACAATGGCGATTAAATCGCTGTCCCCCGGTGCTGCTCCATCCCCTGCGGGACGAGCTGCACCGGGCCCTGCGCACCGCCAGCCCGGCACCGCCACCCACGGCCTGCCGGAACCCTCGGGAGCCGGGCCGCCCTCGGGAGCCGGGCCGCGGCTGCCGCCCTCACCCGGGCACTCCCCCAGCGCCATTCCCCGCTCCCACCCCGGCGCTCCCCGTTCCCACCTGGCAGCGGCGATGCCGCGCCGCGCGCTCGCCAATGCGGGCCCGGAGCCCGGCCCGAGCCCCCCCCGGAGCCGCCCGCAGCCCCCTGGCCCGACCGCCCGCCCCGGACCCATGCGGCGGCTCCGGGAGCGGTTCCGGAGGTGAGCTCGCCGCGACCACCGGCGGAGATGGGATCCGCCTGCCTGCCCGAGCCGCTCCCCGCGGGATGGGACCCCCGGGCGGGTGAGGGGTGGGTGGGGGAGCTGGGATTTTCTCGCCGGTGCCAGGAGGGGAGGGCAGCGAGGTCCCGAGTGGGCGGTGAGGAGGGTCTTTGTTTGTGTGCTTGTTTGTTCATCGCCGCCGTGAAATGGGTGAAGGTTCGCGCATCCGGCCCTGTGTCACAGCGGGGCCCGACCTGTGGCTCCTGGGCCGGGCCGGGTCAGCGCCCGCCGGCCCCGTGCGGCTCCGCGGGGCCGCGGAGCTCCTTGTTCTGCCTCCCAGGGCGCGCTGAGTACCGTGGAATCACAGAATGCTCCGGGTTGGAAGCGCCTTAAAGCTCATCGCGTTCTACCCGGCTGCCATGGACAGCGATACCTCGCACTAGACCAGGTTCCTCCAAGCCCTGTCCAACTTGGCCTTGGATGCTTCCAGGGATGGGACAGCCGTAGCTTCTCTGTGACAGGGCTTCAAGCAACCTCACAGGGAAGATTTACTTCCTAGTATCCAATCTCAATCTGTGCTTTTTCAGGTTAAAAATCAGCCCTCATTCAGCTTTAGATGCTGCTCATGTTCACGGGGAGGTTGACTGGGTAACTGCGGTCGTGCTTCTTGGATAAACATCTGTGGGCTTTGGTTCTTCACTGTCCAGATGCCAGGCCAGTAACAGCTGATGGACAGCCCATCTCCTGGGTGAGGCCAGTTTCACAGTGGCTTCCCTGACCAGGTACCTTCCATAGGGCTGCTTTTGCTCTCCTTTCACCATCTTGCTCAAGAAACTGAAACCTAAGTATTAAAAGGGAAATAAAACTCAAAGAGAAAAACATAAATGCAGTCAGACGTGGTTTCTGTGCTAGCCCACACCTCGGCTGGCTGGTCCCTTGCCCCTTAGCTCAGATGTGCTGCAGCACCTGGGGTGACTTGTGGTTGCTGCCCACTCTTCACTTGAATTGCTGCCTTTCATTCTTGCCAGAAGGCTGGGGAGGCTTTGGGGAGGTTGGTGGGATGCACAGACACTTTTTTCCATGACACAATCTATGTATGATAGCAGAGTTGTTTGTGGATTCTCAGAGTATTGCAGGTTTCCTTTTATCTTTAGTATCGTGCTGTAAGTACATGAACCTTCACACAGCGTGGGATTTCACTGATATTTCCAAATAAGGGAACTGCTTCTGCACTGATCTGAATTATTTCTGTGCCTCAGATGTTGAGCGATAGTAAAGATTAGTAAAGTGAACAGTTACAAACGACGGCTAGATACTGTCACATCCAGGGAGGAAGATGGATCTACTTTAACTGAATGAATTTGATCAAAGCCAAATTTGGTCCAAGCAAGCTTTTAATAAATCCTTTCCTTTCTCTTCAACATCTAATCTGGGTGGTCATCAGATCTGTTTTGACCTGCTTATATATTTTTTGTTTTCCTCTTGAAAACAAAGAGCTTAGGTAACATCCTAGATACTGAAGCATATTTTTAGGTGATGAAGAAATTTTTAACCCCATTTGATACTACTGCCGGTTTTGTGGAGTTACGCCCACGTTGTTGCAGTTTCTCATATGCTGTTATTTGCGGTTTATTAGGTCTAAATGGCTTATCCTGCTGCTGGAAAGCACAAAGAAAGAAAGGCACAAAAACAGGGAATGTGCTTTTAAGCTGGTAAAAGGAAGTATGAGGTATTTTGAGCTGAATAAAGGAAATATACTTCCTGAAAAGACTAAAAAAATCCAGATCTTTGAGGCCATTATAAGTGCTTGCTGTTTTTACTGACATTCTGCTTCATGCTTAAAACATTAATTCATTCAGCAGATGGGAATCATCAATAAGGCAAGATTTGATTTCCCTTCTGCAGTCTGGGGTCTGAGCTTGTTGTGGTGCCAGACAAATGCCATACAGATATGTGCAATGGATTTAGGGTTTTGTAATTTATTTTTCTAAGCTGGCTTTGCTTGCAAAGACAAAGCATTAAGAACCCTCGGACTTTCCTTCTGCTTTGTCTCCCAAATACTGTCTTCTCTTAATTCTGGAATCTCTGGGAAACATACAGCATCTGTTCCTTGGAAATGAATAGGAGCTTGAGATTAGGGTCTGTCACAAAGGATGGATCAGTCTGTGTGTTTTAGAATTTAAAATATTTCAAGTATTTCAAGATCAAAGATCAAGTAGTGTGAATGAAGGGGTATGAGTTTCTCCCCTCTTGCTTTAAATTGCTGTATTTCTCTCTCAGTACCTTTTTTCTGCTTATATTGGGAGTAAGTTCATCAAAAGTTGTTTGTTTGCTGTGAAATTCTGAGTCTTCAGCTTCCTTGGCCTTGAGCAGATTCTGAGCATTGAGAATTTAAATTGTGAAAAGGAACTCACAGCTTAGTTCAGTGCAAAAGCATTCTGCTCTCCTGTCTGGCTGCAAACCGTTCTCAGTCTCTTCATTTCAGAAATTTCTTATTCTGCTATTGAAGGCGTTAATATTTTATCTTAGATGTCTTTTGTTGTCAGTATCTTAAATGGAGAAATATTTGTGCATCCTTGGGAGATGTGCTGCATATCCTCTGATTAAATGATTCTGGTTTCACCAGATCTGCTGTTAAAGAATACATCAGGGATTTGCTAGAGGATCTAAAAGGCTTCAATTAAAGACATTTCCTGTAAACTGCAGTCCAGTTCAGTGGGACTTCATCAGACTGTCCTGCATTTGATAATAACCTTAATGGCTGTGTTATAGAGAGCCTTTGTTTAGGAGTAAACAGCCTATGAATGCTCTACTGAGCTTCCACTTTTAGGAAGGTGAGATTATAATTCCCACAATTATCTTTTCCAGAAGAGGCAAATGTGACCTGTAGATAGCAGGAAGAACAATGTCCCTGTGTTGCTGTACTCACGAGGCAGGAAACAAGCATCCATTGTTGGTGGTGGCATGGGGTTTGTTTGCTTATTTATCTTTAAGAAAGAGCAGAGCTGTTTTGCCTTTAGAATGTGAATAAGCAACCACATTTTTCTACATTTGTGTTGCAATGTCATATGTGTCTATAACTGCAGGAGTATATGACTGACTTTAACAGTGTGTGTCAAAATAATTTTCCTGGTTTTGATGAGCACATCAGTAATATCACAGAGCAGCTATTTTCAAAATTCACGTCTCTTTCTTAAGACATTAAGCCTAAACTGTCACGCTGAAAATGAAACAAACTCGTGAGGAGCACTGGCTGCCATTATTGCCCTTCCAACCACCTCGTTAATGATCCTCCCTCTGAAGTTGATCCTGATAGTGTTTATAAATAGTTAATTATCAAAGGGCAGAGAGGAGTAACTGAAAGTTTGCTTTATTAAGACTGTTGCCTGTGAGCAGTGACCTGAGCAAACGCTTTCCAGCCTTTGGCATCAGGGTCTGCAGCCTGTTGGAGGCAATCCCTCTCAGAAGGGAGAGATGCAGGTCCATCAGATGTGCAGCAGAGTTGGTGCTGGGGCATTGTAAGACCCATTTCTGCAAGGCAGAGGTGAAACTGAGCACTTCCCCTCCTTCCAAAACACGCTGGTGGTGTTGGTGTTATTGTGTAAACACTGAGGTGAAGGGGATGGGTGAGGTGGTGCTAATGCTGGAGTTCTGCTGGAGCTCTGGTGCAGAATATTTGCATCAGTCCTGTGCTGCCACAAACAGAACCGGGAAAAAACTAAAATCTGTGTGTAGGTAACAGAGCAAGGGTAGATTTGTTACTGTCTTTGTGTTCTGTTCTATGGCTAATGAATGTCTTTAAATTAGTGATAATAAGAGGTCCTAATTTCTAAAGTATTTGTTCATAATTCTGAAATCTAACATTACCCCTAGATCCAAAGTGATGGCTTTAGAAAGATGCAGTGTATTTCCTAATGAAAAAAAAAGAAAAAAAAATTAAAAGTAGGCTAATGTTGGATAATAGAAGATCCCATTAGGAGGCATCAATTATTTATAGATTTTTATATGATAATAGTATCTTATATAGAAATTTGGAACAACAAGAATTATAAAGTTACTACAGAATATAAGATTATTCCTTTTGGTTCTTCAGACTTCCAAGGTACCACCACAGAGAAATGTAAGAATATTCTGGATGTGATAAGTAAAAAGTTTCCCATGACTTTGAATTTATGGAGTTGGACAAGGGCAGTCCAAGCCTGGCCACTCACTGAGCCAACAGATGCTTTTATTTTTAAACTTTTCCCTGACTTGGAAGCAGAACTGAGCAAACTGAATGTTCCATCTTTAGAGGATGCAGAGATGGTGTTCAGCAGCTGTTGAAGACATACAAGCACTGGGAATAAAGTAATTTTCCAAATATTCCGCGAGCCTTTGTGATGACAGTGTCATTGTCTTCTTGGAGAGGAGAGCAAGGTGCCATTTGTCACTGACAAAAGAATTGCCATTTTTAACCATATCTTAACTCCTGCAGGGTTATTAATGTGCTAACAACCATTTATGTTCTGTGTCTGTGAATTAAATCCACAATTTTCTTAGCCTTTGTTTTAATACCAATGAGAATGTTTCTTGAAATTGCCATCATTTGGGGAGGGATCATGGCACTGTTATTTTCCCAATGCTGCTATATTTTCATATATCAGTTTAGAAAAAAATGGTTCACAAGTCACTTAATAAATCAGTCAAGAAAACCAAGTGAAAAAATGAGCCACTTCATGCTCCAGACACAAAAAATGCTTGCTATTAGGAGTCAAAAAAATCAGTGTTCAAGTGCTCCAAATTGGAATATTGCTGGAGTTTCAAGAACTTCTTAAAAGAAGAGTAACCCCTGACAGCTATGATGAACTCCATA